AAATATATATGGTGTTTATAAAGTCTGGGACCCATTTTGATGTTTAGTAACTTATAAAATAATAAAGATAGACTAGAATTAATAACATAAATGGTTAGATAGAGTCAAAAAGTTTCATGACCCTTGTCAATGAACTTCCATGTGTGCCCCCTTCGTCGCACGGAGAATATCAAGTCGATAGTCAATTTCACGCCAGGTAGCGGCAAGCATGTCGGCAGAGACTATTGGGGTTGTAATTCTGGCTTTTAGGTCATCAATGTTCGACACGATCCTCCTATAAACATTGTCCTTTATAAATCCCCAAAGAAATAAGTCCAGCGGCGTTACATCAGGTGATCGGGGTGGCTAAGGAATTAGACCTCCTCGCCTACAGAAAAGACGGTCTCATCAGTCGTATACTTAGACATGTTGGAAAACTTCGTATTTCCACAACTAGAAGAGCTTCAGCCACATGTCTTTTTGCAACAAGATGGTGCACCACCTCATTGGGGTATCATCGTTCGTAGTTCTTTGAATGACCAGTTCTTTGAATAACCATGATTAGGCGAGGAGGTCCAATTCCTTGGCCACTCAGATCACCTGATATAGCACCACTGGGCTTATTTCTTTGGGGATTTATAAAGGACAATGTTTACAGGAGGATTGTGTCGAACATTGATGACCTAAGAGCCAGAATTACAACAGCAATAGCCTCTGCCGACATGCTTGCCGCTACCTGGCGTGAAATTGACTATCGACTTGATATTCTCCGTGCGACGAAGGGGGCACACATGGAAGTTCATTGACAAGAGTCATGAAACTTTTTGACTCTATCTAACCATTTATGTTATTAATTTTAATCTATCTTTATTATTTTATGAGTTATTAAACATCAAAATTAGTCCGGGACTTTATAAACACCCTGTATATATAATATTATTATTATACATTATTCAAAAAATAAACAAGCACGAGAATGCTTTCACCAAAAAGTCTTGGCAAATCTGTCATTAAAAATCGATAATTCAAGATTTCCATAGAAACACAATGTAGGTGCAAACTCACTTTTGTAACGGTAGAAAAATAAAAGTAATTTTTAATGAACATTTAAAGTCTCTCGACTTTATTGTTACTTTCATCTGCATTTACTTTTCAGTGTGCGGCGTGTGTGTACGAAGATAGCTACCAACAAATGGTTTGATTACGCCATCTTAGTTTTCATCGCATCAAACTGTGTCACCCTCGCCATGGAAAGACCCACCATACCTCCCAACAGTTACGAGAGGTTATTCCTCACCTCTGCCAACTACATCTTCACCATTGTCTTCACCTTCGAGATGGCCGTCAAAGTGAGTCCTCACCGCCTTTCTTTACTCAATGCTGTCCAAGTATACCAAAGTCAAAATTCTTGATGGTTCCACGCTTTATGTTGGTTTCAGTGCGATTCTTGATGGTCCAACATCATTTGATGCTCACCGCCATCCAACATTTTCTATTGCGTGTTCATGGTATTTGATATGCAAACAAACTTCCATCATTCCTTGATGGAAAGTGCTACTTTAATTCTATGATCGTTAACCATCAAGAGAAGTTTGACTCTCATGGACCAACAATCCATGATGGTTCCAATTGAGTTTCTTATGTTGGACCATCATAAATCAGTTTGAATTCCTACATTGGAATGGTTGCTGTTCCTGATCCTTCCAACATTTGATTTCTAAGATACGACGATGGAAATTCGTGTTGGTTCGACATAAATAAACCATCAACGCAAGTTGCTATTCTTATGTTGGACCATCATAAATCAATCCGAATTCCTATATGGTGTTAAAAACTACACTGCGAGTTTGATTTATTATTCCATATACAAATTACATGCGATTACCAATTCATCTCATCTTCCAATAGTGAACTACGCTGTGACTTGAATTTATAATTCCATGGATAAATTACATGCAAATATCAATTCTCATTTTCAAGTGTTAAAAACTACGCTGCAAGTTGGCTTTATTATTTTATCAGCAAATTAACAGCAATCATTTATTTCCCACAATTAAGTTAAACAAAATTGTACATTTTTTTCTTAAGGTTCTCGCCAAAGGACTGTGGTATGGACCAAATGCTTATTTCAAGAGTGGTTGGAACGTTATGGATGGTTTTGTGGTGGGAATATCCCTGGTGGACCTCCTTCTTTCTGTGGTTGCCGAAAGTAGTCCCAGAATTTTCGGCATTCTTCGAGTTTTCCGACTACTGAGGTCTTTACGACCTCTCAGGTACAAATATTCGGTCTATTTTCTCCAATATGTATTGTGATTTCATTTATAATTAAAAGTAAATATTATATATGAAATATCAAAATTTATAATACATTGAACTTTATAATATACACCGAAGAGCCATTACATTATGACCACCCTCCATCTATAACAATGGGCTCACCCAGGAACAATGTTTTCATGGGGCACATTAGAACCCATAATCCTCATAGAACAATCCCTGACGTCTGTAAGCTACTTAAACATAGTTGCAGACCAGGTTCACACATTCATGGCAACAGATTTTCCTGCTGGAGATGGTGTTTACCAACAGGATAATGCACCATGTCATAAGGATCGAATCGTCATGGATTGGTTCGAGGAACATTCCAATGACTTTCAAGTCATGTCTTGGCCCCCAAATTCACCTGACCTTAATCCATTAAAGCATTTGTGGTCCTACTTTGAAAACCGAATTCGTGCTGCAACGTTACTCCCTCGCAATGTGAGGAAATTGCAGGACGAGTTGGTGAGCGCTTGGTACCAGATACCTCTGACTACCTATCAGCACCTTGTGCTAATCAATGCCACTGCGGGTGCTAGCAGTTTTGAGGGCTAAAGGTGCTCCTACATGTTATTTGCAGGGTGGTCATAATGTAATGGCTCTTCGGTGTATATACTAATATATTGAATCTACATAATTTGTCAATATCCCCCAAACAAAATTGTTTTAAAAAAAAGCAGAGCCTGTTATTTTAATGACACAAAATTGGTAATAAATTGTATATGTGTCTGATATATAAATTAGACCACAAATTTTATAAATATGAGTCGTGGTGGCTCAGAGGATAGAGCGTTCGCCTTCCAGGGAGATGAACCGGGTTCGAATCCCAGCGATGACAGATCGATACTAATTCCGCATTCAGCTTGCACCGACCACAGTGGTGGCGTAAAATATCCTCAGTGGTAGACGGATCATGAGTTAGAGTCCCCTTGCCATCAGGCTAACAGTGGGAGGACTTCGTGGTTTTCCTCTCCATGTAACACAAATGCGAGTTAGTTCAATCAAAAAAATTCCTCCACAAAGGTAAATTTCTCCCTCTACTTGATCCAGGAGTTCTCTTGGCTTCTGGATTGGGTTCAAAATTACAAAGCTGCGAAGTTGAAGTAGTCATATACCCAAAATTGGGTCGGCTGTTCAACGACGGTTATAAAATTTAAATTAAAATCCACTTGATATTTTTTAATTCTGTCTTTCTAGTCAGTAGAGGTTCTACACGCTAACTAATTGTTGCTTACCAATAGTTCCCATAGTTACCAATAGCACCCAAAGCAATTGATCAATGATAAATTTATTCTGTTTTAGTGTCGAGACATTGCAAAACATTTTATTCATCAGGAGCTTTCATAAAATGTTAATGTTTAAGCACCAATCTCTTACAATTAAAGCTCACAATGTAAAAACAAATTGTAATTTTTACTCTCTACTTTGCATGTACATTTCTATTTTTCTTATTGCCTTTTCTTATTTGTTTATCCTTTACGGGGTCATGGGTATCAGTTTTTGGTATCACCACTGACAACAGAAAGATGTGTTGGCAGGCCGTGTGTCCTCTGAAGAATTGCTGCCTTGCTAACACACAGATCTTTTTTTTTTCGTTTCCTGCTAGAATAGTACTTCTGACTTTCTAAATTAAAGCTTATCTTAATTGCAATTGTAATTGCCGCCGGCCGAAGACTCCCCGTGTAGTAAAGTGACTGATGCACGTTAAGTCTGTCAAGTCGCAAAAGTCCTCCATGTTCCCATAACAAATTAAAACCTCTGGGGGTACTGAATTGGAGATCGATCGTTCTCTGATTCAGGTCAAAATTACGATCTGTGGATGAATGAATGGATGTATAAATGGGTCCGCCCTATGAACGGGTGCGACGTATGGTGTGGCAGAAGTCGAATTCTTGGCCATAGATGGCGCCACTGAAGAACAAAAAGCGCACACTCTATCTTAAATTTGCTAGGTTTCACCAAGCAGGCTTGCCCGTGTGGCAAGTGGCATTTGAAAGAACAACAACAGTAATTGCGGTTACACGTCATGATTACCTCATGTAACCTTGATTACAAAGTAATTTCCATGATTACTCTAATTAAATGTAACACATTGCCTTTAACTTTTTAACATATACTTGCTTATAGTTAATTTATTACTAATCATCTATGAAAAATGATCATGAAAATTACCTATGAAAAATTATTCTATTTTGAAAAATTTAGATAACTATTATATGAGCTGGTTATGTTTTACAGGGTGATTAATCGCGCTCCAGGCTTAAAACTTGTTGTACAGACTCTACTATCATCACTTAGACCTATAGGAAACATCGTTCTCATCTGTTGTACATTTTTCATCATTTTTGGTATTTTAGGTGTACAGGTAAGTACATATTTAACAGTATATATTAAACCATTAATCTTCACTTGTATAAAAAACTTTGTGAAAACGAAGTCTAAAACTAAAAGCAATTGGTTTCACAAATTACAAGGTGAGAAGGGATAAAATTATTTCGAACCTTTGACCAACAACCTACTACAGAATTCAGTAAGAGCAACGGATAGGTTGTTGTCATCTAAAACCAGTTTATTTAAAGATAAAATCTGAAGATTGTTGTCAACGTAAGAGGAAAGCAGTGCGCAACAAAACTGAAAGAAAACGGACCATCCTGAATAACTTTTGATCTAATGATGAAATCTTCACGTTCTAGGAGTCAATCTTAATGGCTCGAGGGGGTGACCACATTTATGCCAATTGAGAAGTGCAGACGATGTTTTAAGTTACGAAATCAGACACAAAAACGTACTTTATCTGAATAAGCATACCTTTTTTCAGGAGGATTCAGATTTCTGATCCCCAAAATATGCGGCTTAGCCGCGATCTGAAAAATATGGAATTATCTTAGGATAAACAAATTTTATACTTGCGTGCAAACTTTTTTTAATTTGCTTAAAAAGTTCTGAAGATATAACGAAAATCTGAATCCGTCAAAAAAACAGTATGTTTATTCAGAGAAAGTGCGTTTTAGTGTTTAATTTCGTAAGTTAAAACATAGTCTGCCCTTATTAACACGTTCACGCCGGGAAAAGTGAAAATACAGGTACGGGAAAAGGAAAAATACTGGTAGAAGAACTATTTCAATATTAGATAATATTCGGGAGGAGTTAATCTATTCTCAACAATAACAATTTACTGTAAGGAAATTTATTACGGCGAAGAAGCAATTAAATATGAGAATTGCATCCGTTAAAAGCAATTGGTAGTTATGGATTTTTATTATTCTCGGAAAAAAATTAAAAAAATAAATTTATTGTTACCAGTTTTTACTCCGATACGCTGCCAAGATTAGACAATCTAGCGTGACCCACCGTTGGGTCACCCCGGAGTGAACGTGTTAATTACCATTTTTGAGGTTACCCGCTCGAGCCAATAAGATTGAGTACTAGAACGTATAGATCCGATCATTAGCTCAAAAGTTTTTCAGGAAGGTCCGTTTTTTTTCTTTTTTTTTTTGCTCTGTTCATTACAGTCCAATAAGAGAAACAAGCTAGTGTGCTTTTATTGTCCTCCATAATGATTGGATTAAAGTTTTAAAACGATTATTTTTCACGCTCATTTAAATATCAATATAGAACCCCTAACGTTAATATTTTCACATTTCATTCTCACAAAGATTTTAATGAGTTTATGAGGTTTATAAAGAAAACTTCATTATAACAAAAAAGAATGATAAATGCTCTTTAAAAATGTAAAAACTTTAACAACATTATCGTTTTTTGATAGCTATTCAAGGGTAGCATGTTCTACTGCGAGGGTCCAGCAGCTTCTAAAGTTCGTAACAAGTCTGAATGCCTTGAGGATTCTAGAAATTTGTGGCTTAACAGAAAGTACAACTTTGATAATTTGGGGCAGGCAAGTATTCTTTGTTTTCTATACGATTGCCTAAACAAAAATCGAATCAGCCAACTCTCTCTGACAATATCGTTTAAGATTAAAAAAGAATTCCGCCCCCGAAATAATTCCCAAATCTCTGATTGTCTGTTAAATTGGATAGCACGACAATCAAGCGAAGTAAATTAATTTCTCGCTAAATGTCACCTTATCTTGTTAAGCATCTCTTATTTCGATGAGATTTTGTAATAACATTTTGCTACTACAGAAAATGTTGTAATATTTCAAAATAAAACGATGAAATAAAGGCAGAAACCGATCTGGTCAAAAACTGTTGGATAAAATCTTGCGGAAACGATAGATAGTGGAACGGAATCTCATGTAGACAAAATATCATGAAAAGCAATCTTATTCGGGCAAAATATTGTGGAACATACTTCTATTTCGTAGAACACTTAAATAAAATATCGTAGATACAATCTCAAATTATCGTGTGCATAAATCTTGTTAAAACTCAAATCTTCTTACTTCAATGAGCTTTTTTAATAACATTTTGTCACTACGAAAAATTTTGTAATATTTCAAAATAAAACGATGAAATAAGGGCAAAAAACGATCTGGTCAAAAACTGTTAGATAAAATCTTGCGGAAACAATAGATAGTGAGACAAAATGTCATGTAGACAAAATATCATGAAAAGCAATCTTATTCGGGCAAAATATTGTGAAACATATTCTTACTTCGTAGTACACTTAAAAAAATATCCTGGACTCAATCACAAATAATCATGGGCATAATCTCTCAAGGACAAAATGTTGTGGGGTCATAGTCTCTTATGAGCAAAATACCATAGGTCAATTGAACAAAATATCGTGTAACATACTCATATGTACAGAATATCGTGCAGTATAATCTCATATGTACAAAATATCGTGAAGTATGAAATTATCTCATGGAAGGAAAATCTCGTGGGACAAATTCTCGCGCCAAACAAAATATAATTTAACAGAACTTCACACAAATAAAATATCGAAAGACAGATATCACTCGGACAAAATATCATATAGAATATCATACACCCCAAATTATTTGTATATGGATGCTTGAAAGCTACTTCATCATAATTTTAAGAATTTAAAAACAGCCTTACTAGAAAGACATTCTGTTACATTTCATTAATTAACACATTTTCTTTGGGCTTACCAGATCCAATGTAAATCAAACAAATTTTGCCGATTATATTTTATTTTGTTTTTGCATTCCTTTCTAACCTCAGACAAATATTGCAGTTGATAACAACAATGATTTTTTTTTATCAGGCACTCATGTCATTGTTTGTTCTTTCGTCTAAAGATGGATGGGTCAATATAATGTATACAGGCTTAGACGCTGTTGGAGTTGATCAACAAGTAATTATATCTTTGTTACATTTTATTTCTGTAGTAAAAATAAATAGAATTTTTATAGTTATTGTATTTATTTAATTGTTCTTTTTTTATAAAAAAATATAACTGTTTTTACTTATACACAGCCAATAGAGAATTACAACGAATGGAGATTGCTGTATTTTATATCCTTTTTGCTTTTGGTGGCCTTTTTTGTACTAAATATGTTCGTTGGCGTTGTTGTGGAGAATTTTCATCGCTGTAGAGAGCAGCAAGAAAGAGAGGAGAAGGCTCGAAGAGCTGCCAAAAGAGCCAAAAAGATGGACAAAAAGCGCCGAAGTGAGACTTTTACATATTTTAAGTCCCTTTTTTCCTACCACTTTTATAGTCTGAGTTTAATAAATTATCTAAAACACAGTCTGTATGTAAGATATCTCTGAAAAAAGCATAAAATTTATTGTCTAACTAATACACAAAAGATAAAGTAAAGAAAGAAACAAACTTTTTTTTAAAAAAAGTCCAGAAAAGAAGGCACTGAAGTGCAAAAAATTACGGATGGTTTTAAAATTCAATTGAAAGAAACAAAAAGAGATAAAAAATAATACGCTTTGTTAAGTTTATATGTGGAAACAAATTTATTGCCATCAAATTTCTATATTTGTTACAAAGTTCGTCAACAGATGGCACTCATAAATAAAAAAAATTGCAAAGTAATATTTTCCGATGAATTCCAAATCATCTTAACTGAAATCTTCAAGAACATCAACCAGTTTTGTCTTCAAAAGGAGCAGCAAGTAGTGTTTCTCACGCAAATAATAATTCGAAAACATTTTCTCAATTAGCAGCGCCAATTGATAATGATCTTTCTAATTAATTTCGAAACTTGGTGAGAATAAATTATTTCTTTTATATAATGCAACCGCTTTTATATAATGCAACCGTACAGTTCTATCTTTTTTCGGCTTTCTACATTTAATTTATTAAATGTTGAGTCATTTTTTAAAAAAAATTGACACACCTTGAGAAAAATCAGCTCGAAATTAATATTCTGTTGGATAAGCTTAATTAAATGTAAAATAAGCATGCTCAATAAAATAATTTCTGCATCGCTAATTACTCTGCATCACCTTTTTGTATTTTCGCAGAAAATGTTTAAAAAAATTTATTTGTTCTCTATCTTCATGCATATTTACAAAATTCAATTTTCATTTCTGCTGTAGCGGCGATCGTTTTAAATTAATTAGTGGATTTGTACAGGTAGCATTATTCACTTTTTGGCCGTAACAGATACATCTTAATTTGGATGTAATAAAATGATAATTATCTCAGAGAATCGTATAAAATCGTTTCATAAAAATTGGTTCATTAATTATTGAAAATGGTAATAATTCAAAAATATAAAAGTAATAAAGAAAAGAAATCCCTTAAAGGGATCACGATATAACATTCTCTTACATTGAAAATTTTTAGTTAGCATTTCCTGTTACACGGTTGGGGCTGAGATGCCCAAAAGGACACTCCCAGTCGACAAAAATTGGAAAGTGAAAAGTGAATGAATTGTTCCCAACTGACAGTTAGGAGCATGAGAAGAGGTCTATGGTTGGCGATTTATCGAAAGATAACATAGCCAAAAATAAAGCCAACCCCCTATAATCAATATCATATTTGAAAATACTTTGGCGATCGCGAATTGCCAACAAGACTGTGAGAATTAGTACAAACTTGTAACTGAAACCTATTTGTGGTAAGAAATTAAGAATAAAGAGTTATAAATAGATTTCTGTTTTCGATTAGTCTCGACAGTGAATCAATGAGTCTTGCATTATTGAAATAAAAAGTTAACCTTTACGTTGATCGATAAGAAAAGAATGAAATATTTCATATTCGCTTTTTACAAAATGTAATAAAAATTAAAAAAATAATTTAATTAAAATTTGATTAAGTAGGATTAAAAAAAATAAGTTTAAGAAATTAAAGAAATTTGAAAAGATAGGAAATATGTAATGCCTATTGTGGCATCACAATTTCATCTATCATTGATATTACATTTAATCCCATCTCATTTGACATTTTTATTTAACAGAGATGAGACAGCCACCCTATTACATTAATTACTCCAAGCCCCGCCTCTTCATTCATAAAATCATAACAAGCAAATACTTCGACCTAGCTATAGCTGCTGTCATAGGGCTAAACATCGTCACCATGGCCATGGAATTTTACATGATGCCTAAGGTACGGTATTCATATTATATTATTCTTGCATTTTTTTTTTCAATATTTGTCACTAATTATTTAGGAGAAAACATTACATGAAATAGAATTATTTTAATATTGAAAAAATGAAGTGATGAAAAAACTTTTCAACGTTTTTTGCTAATCTTATGGAAAATACTAATACCTCATAAAATTAAGGCACATATTTTTTTTTTTGCAACTATTGTCAGACAAATTTGTCTTCAAAAAATAAATTGAGTTTTACCAGGACTAAACACCTTTTCGAAAAAACCAATTTTTTTTTCACCGAAGAACTTCTTCCTGTTCTTTATTACTATTTTTGTATATTTAAACTGTGAGCTAATGCTAAATTCTAGATTCCGCACAAGATTCTAGATCAGAGATCGATACTGTCGTTCAATAAATGAAGACTCAATAATTTGCCCATTAGTGTTGTGGTTGTGGAAGTTGTTGGTATTGAAGTTAAGAATGTGTACATCAAAATTTTTTGCCAAGGAAAATAAAGAAAAAACGCAATTTAAGTGCTTAAAACTCTAAGAAAAACTATATTTTTAAAAATCATCTTGACGTAATGAATTTTTTAAACTTCTAAAAGTACACAAAGTTTAACATCACATTGACATTCTGCGCCAATTTTTGTAATTGGTATAGAGAACACTGGTTAAAAATGGAAAATACTTAGCTGACATGAAACACTCTTAAAAGTTATAAAACAGTGGTTCTTTGGTAAAATCCCGTCGACCAGGAAAGTTGGCGGGAATACTGCCTAATTAAACCCAGATTCGTTCCACATTGTAACCAGAACATATTTAACGCTTTTTTAAGCTCTGTCACCAAGGAAAATAAAAAAAACTCATAGTTTAAGTATCTTACACTTGAAGCAATGTGATGATTTTAAACTATATAAATAATCCTGCCGTAAAGAATTATCTGTGCTTTAGAACAGACAAATGACATAAAAAAAAGTTATTAAACTTTTTTTTAAATCGCCAATTTAGCAAGATTTTTCCCCCTAGATGAAAATTAACAAAACTGCTGTCTTATTCTCAGTTTTTCGAATTTTTACGAGCCCAACTAATGCAGCATTGGAGTAAGTTTTTAAATATTAAAAAATTAGACAACAAACGGTTTTCGTTCTCACAAAACTGTGGCTTTTTTCCTTATTGACGTTTTGCGCCATTTTCAAAGTAAGAGTGGACAACGCTGGCTTTAGATAGGCTAAACTTGACCTAACAGTTTATGAGTAGCAGTTGCAAACTCACAGCAGCTATAAGAATAGCATATTATTCCCAAAAATATATAATTTCATACAACGACGTATAAAAAAATGAAATTAAAGTTTTAGAGCATGCGATTATCATAGCTTGTTGCCTCTTTGGATGTACATGGTTATTACTTTGGCTGTACATGGTTGTTATCTTGGTATATCAAAGTTACAAACATGTATTTCGTATATAGTTTTCCATCATTGGCGAAAAATCATGTTGTTTTGGTATCTCTTTTTAAGTCGGCGGAAGCTTACACAAGTACCAAAACAGCATATTATTCCCTAAAAAGCATTATTTCATATTAAAACAGAACCTTTGAAGAATGGTTCTAACGAAAAAGAGAAAAGCAACAACTCAAATTGAAAAGGAGGAAGCAAAAGATGTTTATGTTACAAGCAGGATCATGTATAATAATGTGTTTTTTCTTTTCAGAAACTCGAGTATGCCTTAAAAGTATTCAACTACTTCTTCACAGCCGTCTTCATCGTTGAAGCGTGTATGAAGATAGTAGCTCTTGGTTTACTCAAATACTTGAAAAACAAGTATGTCTCTTTTTTGCTCCTTTACTCCATTCATTGTTTATTATTTTTTGTAATCATTATGCCCCTTCTCTTTTATCAACAGGTGGAATCAATTAGACATAATGATCGTAGGTCTGTCTATCGCCGGAATTGTTCTGGAGAAGATGGAATCTGATCTCATCCCCATCAATCCCACAATCATCAGAGTCTTTCGTGTTCTGAGGATTGCCAGAGGTATACATTCAAGGATTGATTTTTTTACTTATTACTATACAGGACAGACATTTTCTTAGATATCTTTTCCTACGATGGTTTTCAAGGAAATTATGATCAATTTAAATTTTGAACCTAAGCATTTCAGGAGCTCGTGTGACGTGAAAATCGGAAGAAAAAAAACATTCAAAAACAAAAATCTTTTTCTTACAAAAGTTTTGTAATATAAAATTTTTCTAAGTTTGTTTGTTTTTTACTTTGCTTTGCTTTTTAATGGTCATATATTTTTATTATTTCATTGATGAGAGAGTTACACATTTTTTACCAACGAGCTTTCAAAAGTAATAATTTTAAAAATTCTTTTTTTTTTTTACTTAGATAATGTAGCCACATCCTTCATATTTTCATTGTGGTTTATAACCTCCCATGAAATAGATATCTCCATGACCTGTTTGTAAATATTTAAATATCCCTCATATTTTTTGTGCTTTTTTCCTCTTTCAAAAATGAAATTTCTTAGAAGCATATGTAATTTTTGTATGACAGAAAGAGCAAATTTTTTTTCACAAAATCGGCATATTCTGCAAAATCATGCAAAAGAAAAATATTCATAAATGAAACTAGAAGAATTTTACGCATTTTTAAAGACTAAAGTACACCGAAGAAAACAACACTCTATGATGTTCTGGGTTAATTAGGAATCCATTTATAAATTTCCTCTTCACTGTTGCCTCTCCTTGCCCTGAAACTCATTGCGTCTAAAAGATGCATGAAGTCGCAATCTCGGTCTCATGTGCCTCCTGTCCAGTGCGATCTCCCTGCCAGTTAAATTCGTTTCTCTCATTATTCACCATACTTTGCTGTGTTGTTCTCTGCCTACCTCTCCTCCTCTTTCCATCTGGTGACTAGATCAATATGGTTCCTCTCGTTTTCCTTGACATGTTTTCTTTGACATGTTTTCTTAATATATGGCCAATTCAGCCCTATCGTCTCTTTTTGATATCTATTGCTAATGGTTTAATACTGGATTTATGATATAGATCCATGTGGCTTATCTTATTCGACCAGTAGTTTTTCAATATTTTCCTTAAGCATTTTGTTCGAAAGGCATCTATTTTGTTTTCCTGCGGCTTTGTTAGTTTCCAAGGTTTGCTTTTCCGTATAGCAGAAAAGATTTCACTGTTGCATTGAATATTTGTATTTTTTGGTTTCATATTCAAACATTGCGATTTCTATACTCTTGAAAAGCATTATGAAAGTGTTCAGTGTCTATTATTCTGCTCTTAATGCCTTCTTCAGCAACACTATGTGTAATAACAATTGTTTCAAGGTATGCAAAAGTATTTGTCCCATCGATTTTCTTCCATTTGTTAGGCAACTAAAAACTAGCTGAAATCCATTCATTTTCCCCGACGATACCAAATTTCGCCACGTGATTGCTGAACAACGAGCTTGTTTGAGAAGAAATCTCCCTTTAACACCATAGAGTAAGTCTGTTGTGAGTTCCCATGCACGTCTGTTGAACTCACTCTTTGGCACAGCATATATGGGAAATCATAATAAATGATGAATCACAGTAAATGGGAAGAAATGTATAATGGTGAGGAGGCAGAGCACATCAAAGTCTGCTCTGCATTTCCCATATATGTTGTGCCATTGTCTGAGGAGAAATTTCCCATAAACACCACAGAGTAAGTCTGTTATGAGGTCCCATGCATGTCTGTTGTACTCACTCTTTAACATAGCATATATGGGAAATCATAATAAATGATTAATCACAGTAAATGGGAAGAAATGTATAATGGTGAGGAGGCAGAGCACAACAAAGTCTGCTCTGCATTTCCCATATATGTTGTGCCATTGTCTGAGGAGAAATTTCCCATAAACACCACAGAGTAAGTCTGTTATGAGGTCCCATGCATGTCTGTTCTACTCACTCTTTGGCACAGCATATATGGGAAATCATTATAAATGGGGAATTACAATGAATGGGAAGAAATGTATAATAGTAAGGAGGCAGAGCATATCCCATTTGCATGGCAACCCATTACCTGTATAATTTCAGGAGTGCTTTCCCTTATTGAGGTAGATGATCATGCGCATTTGAAACGGTACTTTAGTTTACATAAATTATTATAATTATATGTTAATTTTGCAATTTCTAATTAAAAAAATATTCTCTAAAATTGCATTCAAATAGACTCAGACAGTTATTCTATCAGAATTCAATGATCTAATGTGTTGAGGTCCATAAATTCAACTCTCACTATTGTTTTCAAGTTAAGATTTTCAATTATATTTCAGTCTTAAAGTTGCTGAAGATGGCCAAAGGTATTCGAGCGCTTTTGGATACTGTCATGCAAGCACTGCCCCAGGTGGGCAACCTGGGATTGCTATTCTTCTTACTCTTTTTCATCTTTGCTGCACTTGGAGTCGAGCTTTTTGGAAAACTAGGTCAGTAGATCATTTTTGCCTTTAATATGGTTTATTGTAAAGTTTTAAGCAGCACCGATATCATCAGCTTATTAAAAGTACATAATAACTACTGGTAATTAAGTACTCTTAGTGTTTCTTCAGGACAAAAAAAATTAAGGACAGAAACACCTATTTTTCCCTTCAAACCCATGCACTTACATGTTTTCACCACGAAGGCGGATACATTCTTTTCTATATTACTCTAAGAAGAAAGCTTTGCTTGGTACTTATTAGCTCTCCAAGAAACGATTATGTCAGCTACATCATTCTTACGTCTCTAAAAGAAAAAAACATGCTCGATACATTGCTGCTATGTCTAAGAAGAGATTATGCTAGTTGCAAGTTACCTCGCTCTAGTGCTATTTGAAAAAATGTGATATCAGACATAACGCGCGTATAAGAAGAAAAAAACTAATCTTGGTTATGTGTCTTTTATAAACTTTTAAGAACCTATAGTGCATAAGAAAGTTGCTCAATTCATTTCTAACTTCAATAACTAGTCTATCAATGTTGTGAATTGGAAGAAATAAAAGCTTGTAACAACATTATTGAACTTTTAAACCAAACCTAAGAACACCCAACTTCGGAGTACTGTGATAAAGCTGAATTCTTAAGGGCTTCATTTGTGAGAATTCAATTCACGCTTATGTTACATGAAAAGAAAACATTCTACAGTTAGGAAAGAGGCAATGGAAGACTGACTTTCAATCCACTCATCAATGCAGATTAGCAAATGACTTACCAGAAAATAAGCAAATTTTCTTCTTTAACTCAGATTTTCTTTATTAGTTTAGACGCTGACTATTTAGACTTTGGGTTTAGACACTGACGAAAGCTCTTAATTATCGAATCAAAGCTGTAATATTTCAATGTATGTGGTATTATCTGTGCTTTTATTAAAGTTATTTAACTTTTTTTTTATTTCCATAATGGCAAGATTAAAATACAGCGATTAATACAAGGAACCTTACTGAGAACAAACATAGGTAGAGAAAAAAAGATCAAGAGAAGCAGCTGCAACGATAGTCTATAAATCCAAATGGCACCTGACCTCCCAGCTGGGATTCACCTGAAAACGTTTGGTTAAAGTTCCACATAGGATGAGATGGTCACCATTCATAACACGTCCCAGATTATAAAGACTGCAGATAAGACTTGGTTGAGAAACTACACGGAAACGGCTCAAGAGTTTCAAGAGACAACCATGACCAATGAAGAGTCGAAACTCAGCCACTATTTTATGCCTGGGCCATTTGGAGACTAGAGATAATTGCTCTATCGGAGACTTTTGAATTGCTCTGAGAGCGGGGTTCTTTTCGAACTCCTCAGGCATGGTATCTTTTATTAATCGTTTTAACATTCCAAAAGAAGGAGATGTTTGTAGAGCCAAGGCACCCTGACAACAGAACAGATTGCCGATTTATTGGCTAAAAAAACAGTGAATCGACAATCAGTTAAGTAACTGTAAATAGCACAAAATTAACCCTTTTAACTTGAAATCTAATCATCAATCACAAGATTTGGAACTGGGAGTCGTTTTGGGCAGTTGATAGTTTTACTTTTAGACGTTTGACAATAATCTAATTTTTATTTCTATTAGTGAAATGCATGACTGTGTCTGGTATTTAGCGCTGTTTTTTGAAACTCTGTCCCCAAGGAAAATTTTTAGAAAGAGCCATGGTTTAAGTGCCTTACACTTGAAGCAATGCGATGATTTTAAATTATAAACTTGTCGTGAAGAATTATCTGGGCTTTAGAACCGACAAATGGCTTAAATATTTTAAGAGTTATTAAACTTTTTTAAAAAAATTGCCAATTTAGCGACATTTTCCCACCAAGATTAAAATTATCAAAATCACTGCTTTATTCTCTGTTTTTGTAAAGTTTTATGAGCCTAGGTAATGCAGTATTGGAGTAATACGATATTACGAATTATATTACGAAGGATGCCTTCGAAAAACAGCTTTAAGCATCTTTCCTATTTTAACAATTTTGCCAAAAAAGTATTAAGAAATACAATTAAGCTTATCTAATATTATTTTTTCTTTTAGAATGCACTGAAGATTTGCCCTGTGAAGGTTTGGGAGAACATGCACATTTCAAAGATTTTGGAATGGCATTTCTAACTCTTTTTCGTGTTGCCACAGGGGATAACTGGAATGGAATCATGAAAGTAAAAATTCATTAAATTATCTATTTTTTAAATTAGTTTTTGTTTATTTTTACCCTATTTAATTATAAATTTTTTCCCGTTTTGCCTTTTTCTGACAAACATAAATCAAAATTACTTAATGATTTGTTTATCAAAAGTATAATGTTGAAATATTTGTAAGATTTAAATTAATAATTTTAAAAAAGGAAAATCTTCCATGTTGAACCAGCAATCAGGCTTCGGATTTTAAAAAAATTCTATAATTAAAACGTTCCATTAATTAGAATAAGTGTTACTTAATAAGAATTAAAAAGTAAGTTGAAAGTTAGTTCGTTGTTATTTCTTGCGATATAATCATGTTCTTCCTTTAAATTGATGAGTACTTACTATGGTTTTACTCTAATCCAACAACAATTCTCTTAACTTTTTATTTATAATAATAATGATATTAATAATAAGTACTTGTAGTTCGTTTAGTTTCGATTAGATTCCAGGCTTTTACAAAATCTAATTAGAACATTCTTTTTTGGATCTTTTTTCGATTTTTTTTTCGAACTATATGAATAGTTTCCGCGAATGTAAAGTAGATATCTTACACAAGTAGAAAAAAATTTAATAATTAGTTTAGTGTATATCATAAGTTTTATCTTCAGCAATTGTTTTATACGAATGTCTGCTGCATATTACTTACTTTATTAGATATTACCATGAATGAATCATTCTTAACATTTTTATGCAATAACTACATTTCTTTTCGCGTTGTTCACTGAAGAGCTTACTAGGAACACTGAAACGGTGTGCTCATGTAATTATTAGAAGAATAGACACTCTATGTCTTATAATTTAGCATCTAGGTTAAATTTGTGTTTACTTTTATCTTTAATTCTATCAATGTAAAGATTGTATTTATATTTATGGAGTTGAGAATTTTTCAGTTTATTTAAATACAAATTTTTAGATTTAGAAAGAATTGCATAAATTTATCTTACGTAAATTCCATAATTTAAATACAAAAAACTATTGTGACAAAACAAAGCCGTCTGAGAGTAAAATTACGTTCTATTACATTGAAGGTCAAAAAATTGTATTACTTTTAAAACAATTTTCATTTTTACACGCTCTACACTGTTCGAAATTTATCTGAAAAACTGGTTAAATAACAATTTATTGAATGGTTATTCTACCATATTTAATCAAAACATTTATTGAGAATTTTTCGGTTTGTTTAAATACAAATTTTTAGATTTAGAAAGAATTGCATAAATTTATCTTACGTAAATTCCATAATTTAAATACAAAAAACTAATGTGACAAAACAAAGCCGTCTGAGAGTAAAATTACGTTCTATTACATTGAAGGTCAAAAAATTGTATTACTTTTAAAACAATTTTCATGTTTACATGCTCTACACTGTTCGAAATTTCTCTGAGAAACTGGTTAAATGACAATTTATTGAATGGTTATTCTACCATATTTAATCAAAACAGTCAAATAACCATAAATAAAATGGTAATCAAACTGTTAAGTTTGAGAAAAACTGTTTATTAGCTGCTTTTACCTGATACTGTTAAACAACCAGAATTTTATCGCATCAACTAGAACCACCAAATGAAGTTACTTAGTTCTTTGCAATTGCTTACATATCATAGCCGAACGGGCTTATCTGTCAATCTCATGACTGGCAGAACTGGAGTTTGAGTCCTAGTTTTGACACCACAATATTCCCTTCAACACATGAAGAATTTCCAGTGTCCGGCACTCTCCAATGCCCATTACCTGACGAAAAGCCGAGCTGCTGTGTCTGGCTAAATAATTAGTTTTTTTAAACTTTTTTGAAAAATGCTAGTTGTAAATGGTTAAAAAAAACGTATAGTTTCGTATTCATGGTTTTATAACTATACTTTTTGTAAATGGTTTCAAATTCAAATACCAAAACCATGAAGGAAAAAAATGTTCTTTACCGTAAACTTTACGGTTAATCGGATGGACAGACAGATGCCAGTTATTCTACCATAATTTTAGAAGGGTACACAGGTTTAGAAGGGTTTACAGGTTGTTGGGCTGCCCGCCTGTTCGCTTCCCGTTATTTTGACAACGTTTTGTTGTTTTATCTATCTTATTCGCTTTTTAATTCTGTTTTAATCTATTTATTCACTACATTGTGCTTTTTAATTGGCTTATTTACATTGCCTTTCCTTGTTTTGCAAATTTTAGCGTCGCCTTTTAATTGTATTTGATAATTGTTTGTTTTACCACTTTACATCTTCACCTCCTTTTGTTTTACATTTGAGATTTTCTTGGCTCCTTACGCCTTGTTCTTCTGTCTTACCTGTTGTCAATTTGTCATCGACTGTATTGGTTCTTTGACCTATATTAACTTTGGACCTCCGTTTACCTGTGACCTTTTAATGTTTTCTTATGTTCACTTCTGGTACACGTTTTTTTTAATGGTTCACTTTATGTTTTACTGTTCTTGAATACATCAACAGCCATCAGACTCTGTAATGTTTACATAATGTTACTCTGTAATGTTTACATAATGTTACTCTGTAATGTTTACATAATGTTACTCTGTAATGTTACTTTTTGTATTTTATGTACTTTTCTGTTTTTCTTGATTTTAATAAACATTTACCCGTATGCCCTAAATTAGGGCAGGTCGGGGTAAATATTTCATAATTTTAGAATGAAAATTTTAACGGTGTATAATCAGACTGAAAATTGTTTGCATCTACTTCTTTGTGGGTGTTTCCTTCCTATGAAGAGAAATACCACCAAAAATTTGTTGCACTTGATCCAAGATACACAATCTGTTCTGTTTCAGGACACGTTGCGTGACAACTGCGACAACTCGAGCGAATGCATACGCAACTGCTGCATCTCACCAGTAATTGCACCCTTGTATTTCGTCATCTTCGTCCTCATGGCTCAGTTCGTTCTCGTGAATGTGGTTGTTGCAGTGCTCATGAAACACCTCGAAGAGAGCCACAAGCAAATGGACGACGATATCGAGATGGACGCTGAACTGGAGAGAGAGCTCGCAGAAGAAGTTCAGCAACAGAAACTTGCTCAGTTGGGAGAGCAGCTCAAGCAGTCAGCGGTAAGATATTCGTTTGTTTTTTTCTATTTGACAAATGAAATCATTGTAAATAATAGAGCAATTTTTTTTAAAAAAACATAATAAGTTCAAAAATAAATCGAAAGACTTAAGTCCAACAACGATAAGCTACAAAACTTTAATTAACAATTAAGAAAAAGAAGAGAATTTGAAAAAATTCTAAATTAGAAGCCTATAACGGTTTTAGAAAGTACTGAGAAAAAAGCAGACTTTCAAACTTTTTTTGAAAGAAACGTGATATTTCTTACTGGCCATTCCAGATGTTCAGAAATAATATTAAATATTTATAAGACAATGACAACTGAAAAACGAAGTTAATAAATGCAAAATATGAAGAAGCGGTTAAAAGAGAGTATAAAAAACTGTTGCAATCAAAATAAGTATTCAGATAAAAAATTAAATTTTTTATGAAAACTCTGTCAATATTCTTCAAGAAGAATACAAAAATAAAACTTTCTCTAATTTCTTTTTTATTGACAGTATACACTCGTAAATACATTGTTAGAATAGTTTGCGTTGATAGTTAAATTATATTTAAATTAAATTAAATAAAAAAAAATACAACATTTTCGCATTTACATCGTAAGAATGAAATAAAATTTCGCTAACTTGAAATGGAGTTTTCTCAAAAGAGTTTTTGTAACTAACATGGACGTTAACTTTTCCGATTTTCAATGAATTCTTTTAAAAATTTAATAGCATGCATACAGGTAATGTAGTTTATGTTGAATTCAAGATTTTCTCATTTATAATTTATTATATTTGATTAATTTAATGCTAATTTCCTACTTTAGAGATTCTTTTTTTGTTCATTGTGTGATCATTTTGTTAATTAGCATTAAAAAAATAAGAGTTATCCTTCATCAAACCTAAGGAGCTCTAGCCTCAAAATAAAACAGATGATTTTTGCATGATGTAAAAGGAAAATCCAACTAAAAATAAGAAAAGATTGAGAAGTAAAGCATTTCCGCAACAGCCCGTTGTGGGCCTGGGGTTGTGTCTCCAAATTTTCGTGATAATGACCTGATTATGGTCATATGGTGATTACTTCAAATCAACCGAGCTGATACCCATCCATCAACAACAAGCTGGTACACATCGATCTGAAGCTGGATGCCAAGTTGCCACTGGGGTTCGAACCCTAGCTCTTCACAACGACATTTCAGTGCCGTAACCACTGAGCCATCGTGGCTCATAAGAAAACATTACATTAAAATCTTTCCCTGTTGCTTATACTTAATTTTTTCTCTAGTTAAACTTTAATAAGAAATCTATTATTTGCAGGAAGCGTGCAAGAAAATGAAGAGGACTCGATCGAAAAGTGCATCCCATAAGCCTCTGGTTAAAATGGCTTCCCTTCCACCAAATTTTGTCTTTCCATTTCAAGCTGGAGAAGAAAGAAGTATTTATTTTACCATTTCACCACATCATATTTAGTATTGAAATAACGCAATACCGCTGGAAAAATCCTCCATGACAAATTGTTTATTCACCCACAAATGTTTTTCAAAATTTAGAGAAAAATGAGAAGTAAACAATGAAATTTCAAATGCGAAAAAAAAATGTTTCCAAAACTTTAAAACTCAAGAAAATTATTACATGATTTTATCAAGACTAGGGCGCTAAGCCCCCTGTCTTCTGACGCTTGTCACCCCCAGTTATTGCTTCGCAATAATTGTTGTTTCTTGACACAGAACTAGTGAAATTATACAACTAAATATATATGTACTAAAAAGAGCACTTGTGCCACCACATCGCACGTACAAATATTTCCCTTATGATACTATTAAGATCTATTAGTGGACATAAATTATTTTTTGAAATAACATATAAAATTAAAAGTACACTGTTGTAACAAACTTCGTGAGTTCTCAACTGTAATTTAATCACAACTTGTAATTAATGTAATTTGGTGAGTTCACAACTGTTATAACACTAGTGCCACCACATCCCTCGTCCAAATATTACCCTTATGATATTATTAAGATCTATTAGTGGACATGAATTATTTTTTGAAATGACATATAAAATTAAAAGTACACTGTTGTAACAAACTTCGTGAGTTCTCAACTGTAATTTAATCACAACTGTAATTAATGTAATTTGGTGAGTTCACAACTGTTATAACACTAGTGCCACCACATCCCTCGTCCAAATATTACCCTTATGATATTATTAAGATCTATTAGTGGACATGAATTATTTTTTGAAATGACATATAAAATTAAAAGTACACTGTTGTAACAAACTTCGTGAGTTCTCAACTGTAATTTAATCACAACTGTAATTAATGTAATTTGGTGAGTTCACAACTGTTATAACACTAGTGCCACCACATCCCTCGTCCAAATATTACCCTTATGATATTATTAAGATCTATTAGTGGACATGAATTATTTTTTGAAATGACATATAAAATTAAAAGTACACTGTTGTAACAAACTTCGTGAGTTCTCAACTGTAATTTAATCACAACTGTAATTAATGTAATTTGGTGAGTTCACAACTGTTATAACACTAGTGCCACCACATCCCTCGTCCAAATATTACCCTTATGATATTATTAAGATCTATTAGTGGACATGAATTATTTTTTGAAATGACATATAAAATTAAAAGTACACTGTTGTAACAAACTTCGTGAGTTCTCAACTGTAATTTAATCACAACTGTAATTAATGTAATTTGGTGAGTTCACAACTGTTATAACACTAGTGCCACCACATCCCTCGTCCAAATATTACCCTTATGATATTATTAAGATCTATTAGTGGACATGAATTATTTTTTGAAATGACATATAAAATTAAAAGTACACTGTTGTAACAAACTTCGTGAGTTCTCAACTGTAATTTAATCACAACTGTAATTAATGTAATTTGGTGAGTTCACNGTTGCCATTTCTTGAAACTAAGGTTTGAACACAGAGATGTTGCCATCTTATAGAAAAGTAATTTCCTTGACAGGAAAGTTTTGTACTGCCATCTGGCGAGCAGAGTTCATCGCCATCTGGTGAGAAGGTGGTTCACCACAAACTGTACAATCAATACGAAGCGAATCCTACTTCTTTTGAATAAAGAGTATTATCATATATTTACTAATAATACAGGGCCAATTTTGATTTATTTTCTCAAAATTTATTTTCTGTTTATTAGTTCATAATGTTTGTAAGCTGCTTACCTTATTCTTTAGCACTTAAATTATTAACTGTCTTTTTTCACTAATGATTTCTCAAGAGTATGAAAACTGGGTCACATCTTCCTATTTGCGGGTGATCTGACCCATGGCAAGGCAGTTTTGGCCAACAGGAATTGGGTATAATATAAAAAAACACAACTACTTCCACTTAGTAGGAATAACATTTACCATGACGCAATGCTAAATTCTATGCCACTATCCACATAAATGCCACTATCCACATGAATCAATTATTAATCAAAAATCGAATATCAATTACTTTTCGTTATAATGCAATAAAATCTGGCGAGCAGCTATTTAAACGATCAAACACTTCGTTTGTTTATTTGTGACTTGAAGTTAGGCTCGCAGAAAATGCCGTTCATGGGTTAAATTTAGTAGGAATAACACAACCTGTGACCTAGGCTATAGTATACCCAATTGAACTAATTATTCAAAACCCATACAACAATCAGTCTGTCAATGTCTAAAGAATTTCTGCAAGCATTAGGAACTAAAATTGTTGACACTGAACTTACGAGTTTGAATCAGTAAACTGAATTCAATCCAATCTGAACTGAAGTCAATACAATATTCGCTTTTTTTATTTGATTCGTGATCTATTTTTTCATTTTTGTGAAGTTTCTTTTAGGTTTTTTATATTGTGCCTCTTTTCGATTGTCTCTTTGATAGAGATATCTGCCAAAATCATTAATTTGATACGATGGGCCCAACCCCACTTATAACCATAGCTAATGATTTTTTTAAAAACTAGTGGGCTGTGCCCCCTGCTACCATCTGGTGAGAAGGTGGTTCACCACAACTTTATCTTACAATGCAACGTAGAATTACATTATTCTAATACAAATAATAATAATAACAATCCTCTTAAACTCTTAATTTAGAAAACAAGCAAAATTAAAAACGTAATAATAACAGTTCAGGTACATAACAGTACAAACAACATTAAAAACGTAATAATTACAGTACAGGTAAATACCTTTAAATTAGGAATACAAAAATATTTAGAGGAAAACCATACCTTTACGGCGTATATCAATTTTATGCTGATGACAACCAAGACCAATATGAAAATTAATGTGGGAAAACTGGATCCTACCATGTGATTTTCTGGCCAATAAAAAAGCACCTACAGCAATGGGTAACTGAGACACCATCATTAGAGTTTTGCATATGGTTACATATTGCGGTGGGGATACTATCCTGTAATAATTTGTTTTTATTTTGATAATTCGAAATTATTTTTTCAATATGTAAAACTTCCTGGTTTATTTAAAATCACTTTTCTCTAAATTTGAAATACCCAATGGAAATGAATCATAATTTGCCATTAAAAGTCTCTCCCGCGCTGTAGCGTCCTCTTAAAGTGTCAGCTAGATAGTTTATTGATGATCGAGATTCCGTTTACTTCAATATCTAGACTAAAAGTGCTTAGATTATAGGGAACTTAACAGAAAGTGCTTAACGGAACTATACGTGCTAAAATTTTAGAATATAAGTGACTTAGTTTTATTGGTAATAAATATAAGTTTTGAAGCTATAGTGTAAAATACATAGAGGCATAAGCTATAATGCTTAAATTATGAGAGTAAATTAGTAAAGGTGTTGATTGTGGTATTACCACTGAAGATATTTTACGATCACAGTGCTGACGTGATAGACAGATCATGGGTTAGAATGACTTTACCGTTAGGCCAACAGTGGGAAGTTTTCGTGGTTTTCCTCTCCATGCAGCGCAAAAGCGGGTTAGTTCCATCAAAAAGTCCTCCATGAAGGCAAATTTCTCCCAATACTTGATCCAAGAGTTCCCTTTTCTTCTGTGAATTGGGTTCAAAACTGCAAGGCTACGGAGTTGAACTTCGGTAGTTGTAAATTTAAAAATAGAGACAGCAGTTCAACGACGGTTTTAAAATAAAAAATAAAATAAAGTAATTGTGATGCGAGGGATGGTTAAAAAATAGCAATTTTTAAATTTATCGAAAACTTTGCACGATTACATCACACATTTCTCCACAAAATCGCGATGATGACTTTGAAATAGTCAGCCTATATATTCAATACAAAATAAATTTATAAAAATATAACTTTTTTTTTGTTTTTAACTTTTTCTGCAATACCTAAGAAATCCCAGGAATTATAGGTAACATGTGAATATCCTCCAATTAATCAGCAAGCAGGTATTTTAATAAACAACTCCACTCAACTCTCATTGAAGACAAATGACTTGATTCTCAATGAAAATTTAGAATTCGTGATTTTCTTTATTATCGTCTCATAAAATTGCATAGTGGTTGTCTAACGACTTATTTCCATAATCAGTAGATAATTTTGTCACACCGCTTAACTCGATTTGGAGTAAACTTACTGCTATACATACATTTATGCTCGCATTCATACCTTAGGTCAGCATAACTTTTGTCAATGAAGTATTCTTGCGATAAATCAATGAGTTTTACTCAATTATGTATAACCACGATTTCAAATTTTACTCAAACAATGATTGCGTAAAATTGATTTAACTTTTATATGCGTCGTTAAACTGTTCTACCGTAAAGTGTTCGACTTCGCGTGCAGATCATCGGGTTGCCGAAGCGGGGGTGCCGTCCCCTCTGCAGAGGATCAAAATTGTGATGGCATGTCTTCGGATCATCCTCAGGGGTGTTTCCCAGACCGTCGCCAATAGCCCATCGTGCAGCTCTAGTGCGACGCAAATTAACTACAACTACAACAACAACTTTTCTATGCGTGTTTCTTTTGTCGGTATAAGAAATAGGCGAGGGCTGTAATCAAAGGCTACTGAATATTTATTCAGGAGCATTTGATTACGGGCCAACTCAAATCAACATTGATTTGAGTTGGTCAAACTTATTTTTATATGAAAAATTAAACCGTTCTAAATTCAGCATTGAAAAAAAATAACGACGTCCGGTGGCTTAGTGGTAGCGCTTTGCTCTTCAGTGCCACAGATCCTGGGTTCGATCCTCGGGCCGGGCAAGGCTGACTCAGTCTTTCATTCCTTCAGTGGGTCGATAAATGAGTACCAAGCATGCTTGGGAACTAAACACTGGGGGTTCCGAGTTCGGCTGACCATCTGACCGGAATATCTGCTCCTGCACCCCAGAGCCCAAGGTCAAGAAAACTGAGATGGGCACAGTAGGCCTTGGCCCTCTATGGGCTGTCGCGCCACTGAGTTTAGTTAAATAAAATTCCATGTGAAGTGTAGAACATTCCTGCAACAGCCAGTTGTAGGCAAGGGAAGTCATAGAAGTTAAGGCTTTATCATGTGGTCAGCATTACGCACCGACCCCCTTTACTTCCTAGACAAACTGGTCCCTTTCAATCTGAAACTGGAAGGTCAACGGTGATGTTTGTATACCCCAGTACTTTCTAATGACAGCCCAGTGAGCCAACCACTATGTCCAGTGTTAAAACGATTGTTTAAATATCTCTTAAACAATTAATAAACATAACATTATTTCTTGCCGTAGTTTGTTTTTTCCCTGTGTGATTAATGATGTTTTCCTTTTCATTAAACTAAAAAAAGAATTGTTTAACAAAGAAATAGTATTACAATGATTAGCTGGAAAATATGATCTCAATGGAAAATAAAAATTCTCAGAAATTTATTAAATTCTTTTTTTTTTTTGTTGTTGTCTAGCGAAGGAAAGGAATTTGATAAAGTTTTTCTGGAACAATGGATTATCTGACAAAACTTCCCTAAATGCCTCAGTGTTTCCTCGTAGGTTCAGTTATCATATACAATCTAGCAAACTTTGATGCAAACATATTTCTTTGATTTGCAGGTTTCCGACGGGCGTCCTTGAACTTACAGACCTGTAGAAGCACAACAGATTGTGCCTTCATCAACAGAGACTATCTCCCCCCTCTTGTGCCAGGCTTTTCCATGCACCCGCCAACATCGCCAACAGTCACCAATGTGAACATCAGGCAGGCATCCCCTGATGAAACAGACAGCAAAGTGTCGGTGGCCAACTTGAGCCCCGTGCCCCTCCGATCCTCTTTTGGCTCCACCCTCAACGTTCCTACACAGGTGCCAACTCTGGAGGACAAGAGGAGGAGCGTGGACTCCAGGGCACCCCCTCTGGACGACTGGACATGCGTGTTTGCATCTCTCAACACGGACAGAGTTCATTTATTACCAGTGCTTCAAAATGACGCCTTCCCTAGTGCCAGCGCTCTCATAGAGTCCTTAGGTACCAGACGATGCTCAAACTCTTTTGTTCCAAACAAGATGAATCCTGGTGAAGACTCTTCCATTGAAAAGAACCAATCAAAAGAGATTAATGATGCGTCTCGAAATGCTAAAACTTCCCTGTCTTCTTCTACGCTTGGTGCCGAATATTTTCACAGTGATGAATCACCTTTAATTATGAATCGCATTCGAAGGAAACTTTCCCACATAGCGACTGATTCATCACCGACTAGTCATTCGGATCGCCCGAATGATAGCAGTCTGACAACAGACTCAACTTCACTTGAGCTGACGTTTATTTAGCCATTTTTGAACTATTCGAGTTTCTTTATTTATTGACAGCAGGCTGTTCACTTCAAAGACAATATGAGTGTTGCCAATTATAATTTTTTTCGTTTAATCAGTTCTCACATTTAATTACAATGAATGAATGCGGAGTATAAAAGTACCGACTAAAACTTCACTAATATTGTAAATATAGGAAATATTTAATATAATATGGAGTTATTCACCACGTTAATTTCATTGGGCTAAGATGGATAAGAACTTAGATAGCAAAATTTATAACAAAAATAAAGCTTATTCAAATAACTAAAAAAAAAAAATTTCATAATTGTTGATGCTATTTAATAGGTTAACCCTAGATTCATGGGTCATAATTAATTTAATGCGGTTGATATTTTTTGATAATGCATCAACTCTGTTCATACTTTTCTAATATGTCTCGAAATTAATCTTTAATTGCAAATCTCATAGCAATTGTGCAATACCTAAATCCCAGTGAGATTAGAGGCCTTTGCAAAAAGGAACGGCTAGCTTTGAAAATAAGTTCATTTCGATATTGGGGCTATCCCGTCAAGTCTATTTTATTACAATAAATATTTTAATAAACTTTTAGATTTCATGCGCTACCATCTATCAACAGCTTTTGCAAAAAGCTTTTGAATAAATGTTTGTCATGGATCAAGAAGAGGTTGCTTGCACTTCAAGAAGAAGATCACAGATATCCACAGATGTGACCGATGACGTTAGCACCAGCTGATCGTTTATAAGCAAAATGGTGCATTAAAGTTGAGCTAAGTTTCTTCACATGAGTTAGAATGTTAATTAACGGGAAGATAATGAAATACAGCACCATATCGCACATCGAATTTGTCGAAATATAATTATATTTCGTATAAGTCTTTTACTTGACTTAGATTTATTATTTGCTTATACATTTTATTATAACAGTGACATGTTTTCATTTCGTGATCCTGGCAACTTCGATGAATTATAAGTTTGTTTATGTACTACGTTGGCTTCATCTTCGTGTTAAATACGAAATAAATGGTGAAAAAATTGAAATCTTTATAAAAGAATATAGAATGTACTTAAGACTTATTACTTAAAATTTATTACTTATACTTAAGAGAATTAGTATTTGACAGACTCGGCTTACTCGAAATGGAGTGGAAAGAAGAGTTACTGACGCAAACAAATGCCACATTTTAACAACCAATCAGGATCGAGATAAACTACGTCCCTTGCAGGTATCCCATTAAAGTATCAAAAGGGGAGCATAATTATGCGGAAATAAGGAGAAAGAGTAAATTTAAACTTGTTTAAATTAACAGAAAAACAAGAGACTTATAACGTTTCGCAAAAGTACTGCAATTTTAAATAAGAATTATGAACAGTAACTGACCTTTCAAAGTTGATAATTATTTCAACGAAAATCATTGAAACTGTGGTATAGTTCCGTACCGATACCTATTCACGCCAACTAGTAACACCAAAGCACCAAAGGGTTCTTTTACACTCAAAGATTTAAAATAAAAATATGCATTGTTTTGCCCGGAGTAGATACGAGTTATACCTTTCGAGTTGGTCGCCTTCTGTGATTTTTTTCTAAGTATATCTCGCTTGGCATTGCTCTGATGTCGCCAAAGTTTGGTGATTTCTTGGCGAGAGTAAAGAAACGAAAATCTTCCCTTGATTTCATACATTTTTGGTTGTCACATTTAATCTAATCATAATTTCTTTCATTTTCAAACAAAATTTTTTTACTCTTATCAACTCATTGTAAATTGTGAGCTCAACCATTTAAAACTGTTTACACACATTTAATTTCAGATATATATTTTGAAATATATATTGTTCATAAACACAATTATTGAAAAATGTTAATTTGAAAAGCATTTTGAATTATTAAAGTCTGATAATGGTGAAAGAGTTAAGCATGTTTAATGTGCTTCGGTCGTTTTAATTTACAGAAATTTTTTTTTAACTCAATTAATGAAGATTGACCGCACTCGTACTTAAGGCTCAATACTCTAAGTATGAAAGAAGTTAACTCTAAAGTGTGATACGTTTTAATGAATGGTTTGAACTTAACTTTTCTACTAAAACACTCAATTGATAAAATTTATGTATACGGATATGAACAGCCTGCTCTCTAGATATTAGCAAAACAAAGTTTGAGATGTTGCCAAAAAAAAAATACTAAAGTGGCCGAAAGCTTTTTTTCTTAAGCTGGTCTCTTCGAGCTTTTTTCATTCTCTTATAGTGTATAAACAAATGATCGAATGTAAGATATATTTTATCGTTCTTTTTTCTAAATTATTGTTATCGTCTGCTATTTGAAAGAAAAGAAAAACCTAAGCAGTATTTTGGAAACAAAGATTTAAGAAAAAAAAAGGAGTTGATCTTTTATTTTGTTATTTACATTCATAAAGAGTGAAGATTTTTTATATCATCTGAATTATCACTATGTACAGTTTATAGCATTCCTGTATATTGTTCCCATAATAAAGAGAGGAAATAAAGATGTTTGAAAGATTGTGAACTACAAAAAAAGAACTTTTTTAATAAATATTCTCTAGTGTTACTGTTTTTTTTTCTTGTTTACTATATTTTGTTATATTTTATTATTTTACAGTATCTTCCGAATATTTCAACATAACATTTTTTTTTCATGAGATGACAATTTTCAGTGCCTAAATTTAAAGTTAATTCAATTCAGTGCCTAAATTTAAAAAAGTGCCTAAAATTAAAGTCAATTCAGTGCCTAAAATTAAAGTCAATTCAGTGCCTAAATTTAAAGTCTTAAGTCAAAGAAAAAATTATCACCATGAATAACTATTGATCTTATTGATTGGATTTTCGCGCATTGTCATCCGGGTTTACTTAAGCATTGGGGTGACTTAATTCATTTTGCTAGGTAGTTTTGGACGCTGCTTTAGCAACATTGTTCACATCGGTTAAATATTTTAGAGATATTTTTGTTAGCTTGTTACATTATGTGCGATTTTAAGAAAAATTTTAAGTTTATAAAATACAGTATAGAGGTAGGCTCAACTTCAACAAACAATTAACCTATCTGAAAAGTAAATGCTTTTGAATTTGAAGATGTCTTAAATTGAAAAATGGCTAAAGAAACCTGTCATGAGTAAACTGACTCCGAAAACCCCGTTATAACGAATACGTTATAATAGCACACTAAATTGTTGCTACGATGATCCTGTCAATATAAAAAAATACACATATTCAATGCTAAAATAGCAATAAAAAGACTAAAAAACGAAATAGACATACTTATTTCCTTTACTTTTTTTTTGAACAACAATTTTATATTATTTTTATAACCGTCGTCGAACAGCCGACGTAATTATGAGTTTACGACTACCAATGTTCAACTCCGTAACCTTGTAATTTTGAACCCAATCCAGAAGACAAGGTAACTACTCAATGAAATCGAGGGAGAAATTTACCTTCTTGGAGGACCTTTTGATTGAAGTGACCCGCATTTGTTTTAAATGGTGAGGAAAACCACAAGAACCTTCTACGGTTAGCCTAACGGCAGGGGAACTTTAACCCATGGTCCCTCTACCACTGAGGATATTTCACGTCAAATGTGCGAGACGGATACGGAATTTGTATTAACGAGCCATCGCTGGGATTCAAACCTGGGTCACCTCCTTAGAAGGCTAGCGCTCTATCTCTTGAGCCTCCACGGTTCCGAACAATTATTTTGATTTAAAATGCCAATTTTGAGAACTGTTTTTTTTTTTTTCTCTTATCTTCAGATTATGAACTGAATTGTACAGCTCCTGCACTGTATTGCAGACCGAAATGCCTATTACAGGAATGATTTAGCAACAAGTTTCTAAACCGTTACACGTTTCTGCAAGAAAAAATTTAATTATATGCCTTCTGACGACATTTGATAAGAGAGAATGTTGATTTTAATATTAAGTTGTCAAGAAAGGAAATAAAGGGATTGATAGATACCTGGTCAATAGAAAGCATATTTTTTTGAAGTGCACGACAAGATTTATAAAAGTTACCAAGGAGCTTTTGTTAGAAAGAAGACAACTTTGGTGGTCGCAAGTACAATCTTTTTAGAAGACAACCATGTTCATTTTTTGCTATACTGTATAATACCATAAATAAAGATATCTTGCATTTAATACTTTTGGGTACAATATACTTAAAGAGCAGAAAAAAAATATGATCATCAAAAATTTTTGCCGTAATAGTGGCGAGTAATTTTGAACTCATTATAATCATAAAACTTTTGAATATTTTGGGATTATCCCGTTAACCATTTTTGCCAAGTCCGATATTTTCGCCAAAAGGTAGCTTTCGAGCAATAAGTGCAAGTTTTATCATATTTATTGTGTAATCCTTGACTGCGCGAGTTAGTTTTCTTTAGCGTGTTGAAATACTATACTGTTTTGTTTTATTTGTTTTTCCATTTCCGCTACAAAATAATTCGAATTTGAGATTGTTTGTTGGCGCCATCAAGGATTTTTAGAAAAGTAAATAATTTATAACAATATATATGGTTAGATTCAAGAATAATTCAATGCGTAATTATAAAAAAAATAGAGATTTTTACTTTGTTTTGATTTTTTATCACACTTTTTTATTACGTATTTTTAGACTTACACTTTTTTGTTATTATTATTTTATTACTATTATTATTTGAAAAATTTAATGAGTTTAGAATGCTTATTTTGGAAATTGCTTTTCATCATGATGGTGCTAAAGGGTTCGCGCATTGTCGCTATCGTTGACAGGTCGACGGAATAATCCCAAAGCACCAATTTTTGCATATTTAATATTAGCATTTTGAAGATAACTTGGAAGTTTGTCGTAATAGAGAACTTCTCGTAATATGCCGCACTCCTTATATCGAACTTTTAGTGTATACAATAATAATTCCTAAATAACATATCTTCGTATCTCAGAAAAGTCAGTTTGACTGGATTTTATTGCTGACATCACACTTGAGCTTCAATAATATCGATTGGAGACTGTCTCGGTTTGCTCTTTGGTAACAATCCGAAAGCTCATACTCACACACTACAATATACAACTCAAATGGAATGAATCTTCTCAACTGTTTCTGCTTCAATGTTAATGTTTGCCTCATAAGTAACCTGATCCCCGAGGCAGAGAAAGAGGTTGAAATGGTTCGATTATACAAAAAGCCTTTTCTTTGTGTATATTAAGAATATTAAGTGTGTATATTAAGAATAATTATATTATGTGTAGGGAGATCGTATCCTGTTACATAATTATATTATGTAACAGGGTACGATTGTAACAGAGCAAAAATTTCGAGTGTCGGGTTCTAGATTTGGTTCCTAGGTGGCGCACAAGGTGTATTTAATAAATCTACTTGTACACCCCTGATGGCAATCATTTTTATGTACTTTTGAAAGAGTTACATCACAAAAGATATTTTCAAGCTACGTAAGTACTTTTTTGGTATTAGAATATTATATTGTAACAAAGTAATTTTGTTTAAACAAATAAAAATTATTAACCGAATATGTAAGTGGACACCTTAAATAACATTTCAATAAAAAAAATTAGTTTTGTTAATTAACTAGCATTGTTTTTAACAAATGAAGCTGAAATGACGTCCTTGGGACGATTGTAACAATAAGTAAAGGGACGATGGTAACAGCTGAAAATAAGTAATCTTATGTTTACAAACCATTACTTAACTCTTTAAGAACCACCAATAGTTTCCTATATCATTTATATTATGCTGCATGTGCATTATTTTATTTGTCACCTTTCGCAGCATAAATTAAAATTTTTAACTCCTTAAAGTTAAAAGTTTAACCCTTTGGGTCTCTGCTCATTATTATTTTTACTCCTAAAATATCACTACTATTTTGATCAATAAAAAAATATATCATAACTATGATAATATGTATAATTAACTATGCTTTAGTTGAATTTATGAACTGTTACAATTGACCCCGTAAGTGGAGACAATTGTAACAAGTGCACGACTGTCAAAAATTGTTAATAACTAATATAATAACATTTAAAATAAGGTTTTTTTTTTTCTAGTAGAGGATAGTCTACTTTACTCATCCGTCAATTAATACTAATAATATATTGGATTTTCTGTTAGTTAAAAATAGTTAAATAAAAAATGTTACAATTGACTCCACTCTCCCCTATATTAAGAATTATTACTTTGTGTAGATTAAGAAAAACCTCTTTGCAAGCTTCAGAACTTGTCTCTTTGTATATTCTGTTCTTACGAGACCTTTACGTGGAAAATATTTACTTTTGGCTTTAAGCTCGGTTAACAGTTAGTTTAATTACATCACAAAATGAAAATTTGACTAAACCTGACTGTTATGAGCTAGAATTTCAGTTTAAGACTCAGAATGGCCCGATATTTAAAATTTATTATCTCTTATATATACCTCACTAGCGTTAAGTTTTCAAATGAAATTCAAGCTTTTTTTTTTTTAGTTAGAAAATATATTATTGTTTTGAGTGTACCAATAAAGGATAAATGAAGGTGTAGCTTAATTTGTTCACTAATAAGTAACCGTATTTAATTTATTTCTAAGTATTTTTTTAGTTATCTATAAAGTTTCAAGGACGTCTAACCATTTTCTCAATCAATGTGCACATATTGCTCATTTTATCAATATAGAGACAAAATCTTTATTTGTCAGTGCTTTTTTTTAAAACCTATATTGCACTTATAAGGTTTAAAAAAACCTACAACTACTTAGTTAGGTACAAATGTGGTAAAATTACATTAAAATTAATCAATGGTGTAATGATGCCGTGATGGCTCAAAGGATAGAGCGTTCTCCTTCTAATAAGGTGCAACGGGTTCGAATCCCAGCGATGACTAATCGATACGAATCCGCATTCGGTTTGCACCGACCACAGTGTTGTATTGAAATATCCTCCGTAGAAGACATATCATAGGTTAGACTCCCCTTGCATTCAGGATAACCGTGGGAGGTTCTCGTGGTCTTCCTCTCCATGTAACCTCAAATGCGGGTTAGATCCATCAAAGAGTCCTCCACAAAGGCAAATTTCTCCCAATACTTGATCCAGGAGTGCCCTTGTCTTCTGGATTGGTTTTAAAATTACAAGGCTAAAGAGTTGAACATTAGTAATCGTAAACCCAAAAAATGGGTCGGCTGTTCAACGACGATTATAAAATAAAATGCAAAATGGTGTGATGATTTTTTGTCAGTATGAATCCCTTGCACATGTTTGAAATATGACAAAGTGACACGTAAGATTGAAATATCTCGTAAAACCTTTGCATGTTATTAATTATCCTACTTCATCATACTTAGTAGGTACTTAATTTGCGTCATATTGGACATGCCCAATGGGCTATTGGCGACGGTAAAGGAGACATCCCATAGGATGTTTCAAAGACACGCCATCTTAATTATGATCCTTTACAGAAGGAATGATTTCCCTGCTTTTACCGCCCCCTAACCTGACAACCAACTTCCACAGTCGACCACTTTACGGTGGAATAGTTTAACGAGATACAATGCCGCTCACCCTCGGTCCTTTCGTAGACTGATCAAAGTGGTC